TGTGTAGCTTGTTTGATTTGTCTTTCAGCTCTACATCCTTGTTCTGCTTTAGACCTTTGATTTCACTGCCGAATGCTTCTATTTGGACCATTTTAATTATGAAACCCTCTGCTTTCTGTCTTTCCTCAACACTTGTGGCTTCACTTTGCTTTGCTGCTACCACTGCTGCTGATAGCTCAAGCCGTGGTACTGTGGTTACCTTGGTTGGGGCAACACGCGCTTTCCCCATGACTAGTGAGCAATGGACGTCACCGTTGGTGTTGATTGCTCTCAGATAGGTACATGAGCCATAACCTGTGACGCTGGCGTCCGAGAAGTGATGAAGCTCCTACTGCTTGACATCTGTGAAGGTTGTTGGAATGTAGCACCTACTGATCTTTACTTTAGACAGGTTTTGAAGATCTTGTAGCCATGTGCCACTGTGTTCTGAGCTCCTCTGGGAGTGGCTCGTCCCAACCAACCTTGTCTTGACACAACTGTTGTAAGATCTGCTTACCTTGAAGAATGAAAGGTGCTACGAACCCCAACGGGTCATAGATGGAAGCTACTGTAGATAGCACTCCTCTTCTGGTCAGTGGGTGTGACTTAACCACAACTCTGAACTGGAAATCATCGGAGGACACACACCCTTGAACACCAAGTGCTCTTTCCATGAGCGGCTCGCGCAAATCCATATCCATGTCTTTGACGCTTTCAGCATACTCTTCCTTTGGTATTGATTTCAATACCTCCTTGCTGTTCGAAATGAACTTATGTAGTCTTAGCTTGCCTGCGCTACAAAGACATCTTGCTTGCTTGATGAGCTGGGTCGCTTCAGTATAGTATAGTACAGCATCTTGGTTAAATTGATCCTGCCCTTCAGTGGCTAGATGCTTCAGACCAAAATTGGCACAACCGGGTGAGGAAGCTGCCCCAAACAGATGGACTTTCATCCGAAAGACTGATGGTGGAGACTCTAGATCACCGTTCTCCCACCATAAGAACCTCAGGTAGTCTTGGTCTTTAGGCCTTACATGAAACTGATGGAACATCTTTTCCACATCACACATAATAGCAATTGGGCCCTTACAAAACCTACAAAGAACTCCCACCAAGGTGTTTGTGAGCTCTGGCCCAGTAAGAAGGTGGTCGTTCAATGATGTATCTTCGAACCTTGCTGAACAATCAAAGACAACACGGATCTTTCCAGGCTTGTGAGGATGGTAAACGCCGTGGTGGGGAATATAGCAAACTGGTTGATTTCCGAGTTCCTCTTCTGGGACCCTCTCTGCATCACCACGATCGATAATTTCCTTCATGAAGTTCATGTAGTCCGAGCAATATTTTTGGTCTCTCTTGAGCTTCCGTTCCAAACACATTAGACGCTGAATAGCACATGACTTATTATTAGGTAGATTTGGTCTGTCTTGTCTGAAAGGTGAGGGCATTTCATAATGACCATCTTGTTTGTGTTTGATACCATTTTTCAGCTTTGTCAAGAAGTGAAGATCTTACTGTGAGACAGTTGTTTCTTCTCCGCATCTTTCACTGAAGTCGGATTCTAACACCTTGATTACATCATCTGGAGTGACGATTTCCTTGATCTGAGTCCGGCAAACGTAGTGAACTTCACTTTCGAGCCTTGCTGTCAGTATGGGTTCAGGCGTCACTTGTCTTACAATGATACGATGACTTACTCCAATTGCATCACTGCAATACTCACTTGGATCACCATAACTCACTATGCTCCAACCTAGGTCTGCACATACAACTTCTCTAGGCATCAGAGCCTGTGGACAGTTGTAACCGATCAGCAGACCGATTTCACAATCCTTTTGTGGAGCAATGTGTTCTGCAAGATGCCCCAAATGAGGCCACGCCTTGGCGGTCTCAGGAGTCGGGATGTGCGTTCGATTAGCAGGAATGAATTCACAAGTGTAGACTGTTGGCACTGTGATCTTCTTTGCTTGAGTCGCTAGCCGTTGACACATAGACAGGCACTATCGTTGAAGTCTGGGTACTGTTGCCATCTTGCACAACTCTGTTGGATGTAGTTTCTTTACTGGCCTCTTGTAGCGGTGTTGACTGAAACTTTCTTTCCTTACTGTAGCTCACCTCCTTACACTGTTCTTTCTTTGGTTCTTGTTTTGAGCGGTCTTCATGTAGGCATGTAGGGTGACGTTTTGAGCAAGTTTCACAGACTATCCGGTTACTGCAGCTCTTGGATTGATGGCCAGGACTTAAACAGCCAAAGCACAGTTTCTCACTCTGAATAAATTTGACTCGGTCGGCAACTGACCTTTCCATGAACTTGCAACACTTCTGTACGCTGTCCTATTTTCTTACAAAACACACACGTGACTATGTTTCTTTCACTGGTGTTGGTTGTGAAGAACTTGGCACCAACTGTTTGATTCTTGGAGGCCACTATGTTTTGGTTCCTACTCCTTGCCTTATCAGGTTTACTTTGTCGTAAAGCATGGAAAGATGTTATAGGGTTGCAAGCAATACTAGCTTCCATTGATAGGAATGTCACAAAATAACTGAAGTTTGGGAACCTTCTGTGTTCTAGTTGGTATTGTGTGGCCTTTCGATTTCATCTGGTACTTAACCAGTCAGGTTGTTTGGCAGTAAGTTTCTGGTTCTCAATTCCATCATTAAGAACGTCTCATTGTGGGCAATGGCAGATTCACAACTGCGTAGAAAGTGTACAAACTTTCGCAACTCAGCACTCTCTCAAGGCTATTTTTGGCCAGGCGTATAACTTGTCTCGGAAGGCTTTGGCGATTACAAAGGACTCACCATATCGTTCATTTAGCAGGTCCCATGCTGCGTAATACGAGTCTTCTGAATCAAGCAGAAAATAACCTTCTATGGCCTCTTTAGCTGCTCCTCCAACATATTTCTGAGGGAAGAAGATTTTCTCTGTAGTTGGAATATTTTTCCTCTCAATCAGTGGCGTCCGGTTAGCTCAGTGGGTAGAGCTGGCGACCCATGTACCGAGCTCAGGGTTCGAATCCGACCTGCGGCCCTTTGCTGCGTGTCATCCCCCTCTCTCTGTCCCCCTTTCCTGTCTATCTTCAGCTGTCTCTATCATAAAGGCAATAAAAAGCCCACAAAAATACTTCGTCTTACATCCCAATTCAGGTCACCCATAAGGATGAATAGTCAGGATACAAAATCAAATATGTGTCAGTTAATTGAGTCAAAAAATGCAATAATGACAACAAGTGACACTCCTCTTGTCTTTGGAAACACTAGGACAGATGTCTGATGTATGTGTTTTATATCTCTGATGTATGTGTTTTATATCTCTGTGTTGTTGTCCACGTCAGTTTTTTAGAGCAGAAGACACAATTTTGATGCTATCTCTAATCTCTAATTTAAGGTTACATTGTTCTGTTGTCTTATAGAATACATGCCATCTTATTATTTATTATATTATATATTTATTTTCTCTAGTCTTTATTTGCATATTTGGTGTTGAAGTAATGGAGTTACTTTATATTGTGAAACTTCGCTTACTAACTACATTTTTTAACAGGTAATTAGTACTCTATCCAATTACATTTTTAAAGTAACCCTGGGAATAACCTTAAATGTATTATATTAACAACAAGGAATGATCAGAGGTTTTTAATTACACTACCACAAAATGACAAACAATCAATGTGGTAGAGTAAATTCTTTTACCCTTATTAGACTAATAACAATATTTCTGTTCACACGTCTGAACCTAAAATATGTTGAAAAAACACGTCTTCCTGTAAGGAGGAAAAGGTCCGACCACTCAAAGACTTCTCTTTTATTGCCTTTAATGGATAGAAACAACTGTAGAGTGACAGGAAACTGAACGCTGCAGAATCAGAAGGGTGGAAGAATTTATCAGAATAAAGTCACTTAAATGCATCTTCTTTATAGAAATGTTATCCAACCAAGTTTAAATATATTCAGTTTTAGTCTATTAAAGGAAATTATTACGTTTCCTGTAAAAACAATTTATTGCCAATTAATTTATGTGTTTTTCATCATAATTTGCTGGATCATTAAGAATCATCTGGGTGATTAATAAACTGAAATAGAGATCATAAGCTATACATCATTACAATGCTCACATGTTTATAATAATATAAAGTCAACTTGAAGAAGAAAATGAGTCAATGGAACAAAATGGAATTATATCATCTGTACTGAAAATAGTGCAAACACTTAACTTCATTTAAAACAAGTGAGTTGCTTCAACAATTCACTTTTGAGAATTAATTTATGTTAATTTACTTCCTTTATTAAGATGTGTTGTCAGGTTGTACAGTCCAAGGTTTGAGACTTGTGTGATACCTGCTGATAAAGGGGACAAAGTTTAGATATCAAAGCCAGATAATCAGAGCTCCGTGCAGATCTGTTGTGTCAGTATGACAGAAATGGTGCTCTAGGTTTCTATTAGTGGGAAAAGAAAGTCCAAATCCAGGACGAGCTCCACATCATTTACAGCTCTGCAGGAGTTGAACGTTAGTGATTTTACACTGCCGCACCCAAAGCAGCAGCTATATAAAGAGCAGAAACCAGAGGCTCATATTTAGAAAACTACCAGATGGATGATGAGGTGAGTGTCTGCTTGCTCCAAATGGAATGAGAACATTAGCACAACATGAAGGACACTATATTACTGCGTATGTGTTTTAACTTTGTTATTTTCATCCTCCATCGGTGCTGCTCAGAGTCAAACACTGGAGGCCAAACTGGAGGCCCTGCAGTGCCACTTCACCTGGGAGCTGAACCCCAGTGAGTCCAAACTACTCCTTCTCAGAGAAATCCTGGAGGACATCGGCACTGAGGAGGGAAACAGCTGGCTGGGTCACATTTACAACCTGCGGGGGTACATTCAGTACAAGCTGGGGTTCACTGAAGACTCCCAGAGTTTGTTCAACCAGGCTACAGAGGCCCTCCGCCTGACAAGAGGAGCAGAAGAGGGTCCCTGGTTAGTGGTGAACTACGGGAACCTGGCTTGGCTGCACCACCACCTGGGAGAACAAGAAGAGAGTCAGGCTTACCTGTCAAAGGTCGACGCCCTGATGAAAAAATATCCATCTCCATCCCAGGACGAGCTCCATCCAGAGATCTTGGCTGAAATAGCCTGGACCCTGATGAAGTTCAGTGCAAAACAAAGGCTGCTGGCTGCAGTTTACTTTGAGAGAGCCATCAGGACGCAGACGGACATGGTGGAGTGGAACACCAGCCGTGTATTAGCATTAGAGAGTGCTTCTAAAGACCCCGAAAATAAGGTGGAGGTTGACATCTTGAAGGAAATGGAAGACGCCAAGAAACGGGATCCAGAGAACTTGTACCTTGCTGCTCTTTACCTGGAGGCCTGCGCTAAAAAAATAAGATTTGATATAAAAGAAGAAGCACGTGAGTTAGGCAGAGAGGTTTTAAAAAGGCCCGTCAGCAGCTACAGCGGTAACACACCAATACTGAGGCTGTACAGAAAGAATGGATTGAAGGATGAGGCTATTGAGTTGGCAGAGGAGGCTCTGAGAAGACATCCAGGTGAACGTTTTCTCAAGTGGTCCGCTGCAAACTGCTACAAATGGGTCCTTGAAGACAGGAAGGATCCCGCACTGCAGAAAGAGATAGACAGAGGGATCAGTCTCTGTAAGGAAGTGATTTCTCTTTACAGTCACCATTCACTCAAAATAAAGATCGCTCTGGCAAACATGTATTTACTGTTGAATAACCAAGATGAAGCTGAGAAGATATTTGTTGAACTGCACAAAATAAAGGATCTCGAAGAGGCAGAATTAAAGCTGCTTAACATCAACTGCCGAAAAATCTTCCAAATGTAAGCAACAGGATCACTACGAGCTGATACAACCGAACACGGTGGCGGCAGCGACGGCGGAGATACCACAACAATCCTCCATTTGTTCGTTCACAGGACCAGCGTCAGAGTACTGGAGAAGATTAAACTCAGAGGTAGAAACTGAACATGTAGAGAAATAGAGAAGAAAACCTGCAAGAACCTTTTAACAGCACTTCTAAATCAAAAGAATCTCTGCGTGTAAACACACAGCAGCTTCAGACGAAGGTTGTGTCAATCCCATAATCTTATAATACAATATCAGATGTTCTGTCTGTTGTTTGTTTTTCATTATTACTGTATTACGCTCAATAAGACTTTTGTTTTGCTGTAAAGGAGCAGTGAATAATTAAACTCTTGATTGGTAATGTAGTTAATTTGATGTATAACCTGATTATTATCACCACATGCAACTGATTGTATTCATCGGATCAATGCTAATACTACTAAATATGCATTACGTACACAAGGAAGCCCGTAGTGTTTTTGTTTAGGTGGTTTCTATGAAAGAAATCCACGTGGCTGCAAGGTTTTTAATCACTTATAATGTTTTCCATAAAGTCCACCTAACATGTCTGATAATAATTGGAAATACTTGTTTAATTTGGTCGAAATTAGCAATTTGTTTAAAAGAAAATCTTAATTTAAACCCAAACTATTTACTGCATTACTGAAAATGTGTACAAAATAAAATCCCAGGAGCATCAGTGATGAGTTGTGAATCCTCGTCTTCCAAAAAACACACACACCAAATAACAAATCAGGGTCTTTATTTCTTTAACAAATGTCAGAGTGTGAAAGTCTTTCACACACAAACACATTTTCTACATTTGCACATATTCAGTAGGGATCAATAATGGCCACAATCACCTGGAAACTGGGAGGGTTTGAACCAGTGAGAGATTATATACCGTACATACACACTGCTGAGACCTGAGGGCGCACAGACAGGTCCGTGGTCCCATGTGTAAAACAGAAAAAAAATAAAAAAAGCCACAAATTCAAATGTCAAACGAGATTTCGATCTCTGACGTTTTAGGAGGTTGAAAAAAAAAAAAAAAAGGGAGAAAACACAAAAATTAAAATCACTCGTTTCCTCTTCGACTCTTCTTGTGACTCTTTTTTGAACTCCTGAGATGTGACAGAAACAGAATGAAGATATTTAATAGAGAGACTTTGCTGTGATGTTTGAATGTTTTAGTGACGTTGACGAGCTGAATCACTCACCTCTCCGGAGACTTCGAGTGGCTGCGATGTCTGTGGCTTCTGTGGTGACCTGGTTCAGAATAATAATAATAATTAAAACCATTAAAAACCAAACTACTGACATCAGATCATCACATTTTTCACCCACTTCCTGTCCAATGAAAACCTTTTATCTCCAGATGTGTTGATTTTAAATGTTTGTGATTATCTGCAGGATGAAGTTTTTCCTTTATGGGTCGAGGAAATTGGCTGTAAAACTTCTAATTAAAAGGTCAGACGTTCTAATTGTAATTGAGAGCTGAAATAGTTCCTGTCATTGCTTCCAGCTCTTTATTTAATCGTCTGAATTATGTGTTATGAGCAGTTTTTCAGCGATGATCCAGCAGAGAAAATAGCAGAAAGTTTGTCTGCTTATGTGATAAACAATATTCATTTAAATAAACATTAAGAATAAGCAAACACAATCCATTAAAACGACAAGCTGCATGAATCAAGAACCTTTGAATTTTATTTCATTACCAACAGTTTAAATCAAAGTGGAAAACTCAACATAAAACATTAAACATAAACTACAATGTGAGGAAGAAGTTTTATTTATTGTTAAACGAAGCAGTTATTCCCTCTAGTGTTTGTCCTCTGTTGTAGTTCCACTACTGACCACAGAGCTGTGCCGATCTACCTGCATTATACTGTTTATATGTGAATATACAGAGTTGGTTTGTAGAATCATTCACTGGACGAGAGGCAGTTATATTTACAAACTCTAAAACGTATACTGTATAACTCTCGCTCAGCCTCAAACAACCACCGGCATGTTTGCGTGTCTTTACCTGGGGATTTGGAGCGGTGGCGTCTGTCTCTGGAGCGGCTGCGGTGGCGGCGGGGGCTCTTGCTGCGATGGCGGTCTCTCCGGGGGGACGGGCTGAGTACGTAGAGCGAAATAAAGATGTCAATGAGCATGAGATAGAAATACCAGATATAAAAAGGTGATTACAGCCAGAAACAAACGTACCTTCGCCTCTTTGGAGATCTGCTCCTCCTTTAAAGAAACGCACAAAAGATTTAATTCATTATTTTATAAATCACTTCATAAAAATAGATTTATCTTCACATCTCAGAAACATTAACTCTTGAACAGATAACTCAATAACACAAACCGTCTGGGTGAGCGGCTGCGTCTGTAACGAGGTGACGGAGATCGCCGAGGTCTGTCGTTGTCACGGTAACTGCGTCTGTGGGGTTCGGGGGTCTGGAGTCTCTCCGGCTGCAAAAAAACAACAACAACATTTTAAAAACTCACAGTGAGCCGAAGAGGGAGAGGAAAACAGCTGTAGACGGTATTTTATGCGTGTTTAAATACAAAACACCCTGTGTGTGAAGTTTTCTAGAACAGGTTTGGTTTTCTGAGTTTTTTCACACATCAACAGACAGATGAGAACAGTTGAGCCTCTTGTAGCCGCAGTAATGTTTCTATGTGTAACGCTTTTAATCACAAAACGCACAGAAAAATACAAACTCTGTGAATTACGGGCTTTGTTTTAAACAAGGTGATTTACTGCGTGAGGAGAGAGGTCGGGCACCAGAGAGTAGAGCCACAATACTGTCACACAGTCACTGATTGATGGAGCAGTGGAAGGACTAATGGAGACGGTTAATGTGAGTTTTAAGATGAGTTAACAAGGTCTTAGTTCAGTAAAAGAGCCGTGGAGCTACACACACAGTTCATCTACCTGATCCAGAAACAGAAGTCAAAACTGGGCTTGTTTGAGATCAGCTGAGCGGGCTGTTAAATATTAAAATATAAAATCACTCTCATGGTTATCCATTAAATGCTGTTACCTTCTCTTCTTCCTCATCTTCTTCTTCACTGCTCTCCACCTCATCCAGGTCTTCCTCCAGAGCGCTGATACGGGGGTCCAACATCTCCGCCTCCTCGAGGACGTGTCTCTTCTGTAACACACACACACACACACACACACACACACACACACACACACCATGAATAACAACTTATTTTACAGAAAATGAATCTCCTCACCTAATAGCCAATTCAAAGACTGTTGCACACACAAATTTGATCATCAACAGGCTCCTGCCAACAGTCGAGTTTAAAGTAACACACCTAGGATTTGGTTGTCTGAGTGAGGGGTCTACATTTTACAGGACATTTGGTCACTTTCATAAGTTTCATCACTAAAAGAACTAGTCTCTAAAGCTCCAGCGTCTCCAGTACACCTGTGGGAAACCTGATCAAACGGTGTGTGAGTTGTGAACGTACCTGAAGGCGGGGCAGAATGATGTCACACATCCTCTCTGCGTGGAGAAGCTCGTCGATGAACTCGTCCACGTGCATCAACTCAAACTCTAAAACCAAAGAGGAGAATAAAAACCTTCACACATCCGCCACGTCATCAGAGATCAGACCGAACCTCTAAAACCTTCCTGGAATTTAATCAATGAACCAAATGAATACAAACATTTACATAGAAGACTGAAATTGATCACAGACGCTGGAAGCTGAATAACTGAGAAGGATGAAATATGTGTTTATTACAACTGCTGGAGTCATATTTAAGTTCTGCCAACAGATCCTCCTGAATGTTACACACTGGACCTTTAAGATAATCTTTGTCGTGTAAAAGAGAGAAACTTGAATTCAGAAGGTGCACAGTTGTATTTTTCTGCTTAATAAGGAAAATAAGAGAATATTTCCTTTCTTGACATTTTCTGACTTCATTTTGTTTAATTAATAGTTAAAACCAGCTGAGAGAGCTTGTGGAGCACACACAAGTGCACCAACATATGTATTAAAACAAGGTTATTCCTTTAAAGACCTCCACATACACCAACGATAACGCTTTGACTGTTTATGTTGCTGCATCAGAGAAGTCGACTTTCACAACTCGCCTCCGTTTCTGTTCTGACTCTTGATCTTTCTGTAGTCGTTGTACAGCGGCTCCAAGTATTTGTAGCAGTCCACTGCGGTTCCCGTTAACCTCATGTACATCGCTCCGAGTAAACGGACGTATCTGGAGGGAGGGAGAGAGAGAGAGAGAGAGAGAGAGACAGATGATGGTAAGATGGTCGTCAAACATCCACAATAAACAACAATAAGTCCAGTATGAGATATAATTTCAGCTTGGTGTGTAAACATAATGTCTATAATCTATAAATGAACCTGCAGTGAAAGTCTGGGGCAATAAAGATGTTTCTAAAATAACAATTTGGCCATTTTACATCCGTGTCTGTGTGATTGTTTGTGATTGTTTGTGATTGTGGAAACAACAAACACAACATCAGCCACAAGCTGTTTGTAGATTTACAGTAAATTGATGTTTCCAGTCAGTGTTCAATGTCTCCCTCGGTCTTCCTCGGTGCTGTCACTGAATACAACCGACGGAAACTCACTTGAAGTCCTCGTTTTTGATGAACTCGACGATGATGTCTTTCTCGGGTTGAATCTGCAGCATCTTCAGGGTGAGGCAGAGGAAGGGAGTGGGCTTGATGTTCCCGCCGTAAACCCCGCCGACGTACTTCAGCTCCATGGCTTTATCAACGACCAGCTCGGCTGCGGACGACACGACACGCACGACATTTATCGACATTGTGAAACAGAAAAAGGCACAAAAATATAAACTTTGGTTTAAAGTAAAATATGTTAACTGAACTTCTTTTAGGTTAAAATATTAGAAACTGAAGCTATTTTTAGTCTCTTATGTTTGAACTACTATAATGAATATTATCTTTTTGCCTCATTATTTCATTTTATGATTTGTTTTTGTCTTTTTATGTTAATTAACTGGTATGACAGCTTGTTTGTATTTTATTTCTTTTTTTAATCACTATTTTCTAATGTCTTATACACCAGTTATTCCCAATATAAAATAATAATATAGAATATAATATATTCCCAATTTAATACTGTTTTGAGTCTTTTAAATATGTATCAAATAAGAAATTAATGTTATAAGAAGTTTGTTATCATAATAGTGAATTCCTCTTTATTATTTAATTGTTTTTGTCTTTTTATGTTAATGAACCGGTTTAACTGACGAAAACTAAAACTTTAATATATTTATATATATTTATAAATGTATATATAAATATATTAAAGTTTATCGATTACAGAACAACTGAGAAATTAATCAGCAGTTTAAGTGTTTTCTTTCTTTCTGTTTTAGCTTTTAATCAAACAGAATAATCTAAAGAGAGTAAACTTTGTGTTGTAGTAACATAATTAATTTATAATATTAACATTAATTTATAATAATAACATTTATAATAATAACATTAATTTATAATAATAACATTAATTTATAATAATACTAATTTATAATAATAACATTAATAATAATAACAATAATAATAACATTAATTTATAATAATATTTATAATAATAACATTAATTTATAATAATAACATTTATAATATTAACATTAATTTATAATAATAACATTTATAATAACATTAATTTATAATAATAACATTAATTTATAATAATAATATTAATTTATAATAATAACATTAATTTAGAATAATAACATTTATAATAATAACATTAATTTATAATAATATTAATTTATAATAACATTTATAATAATATTAATTTATAATAATAACATTAATTTATAATAATATTTATAATAATAATATTATTAACCCTATTTACGTTAGCTGCACAATATTCTGTAAAACCGGTTTAAATATTGTTTAAAATACAGAAAATAATGTATAAAGAACCTTAAAGACATAAAGAGACTTTATGTGAATTAAATTATATTAAATTAGTTTAAATAATATAAAATGATATTAAATGATATTAAATGACATTAAATGATATTAAATGATATTAAATGAGATTAAATGAGATTAAATGACATTAAATGATATTAAATTATATTAAATGATATTAAATTAGATTAAATTATATTAAATGACATTAAATGAGTTTAAATAATATTAAATTATATTAAATTATATTAAATGATATTAAATTATATTAAATAATATTAAATTAGATTAAATGAAGTAGAGAATGTAGCATTGGGAGGCTAACGTTAGCTCGTTAGCTCGTTAGCTCGATGCTAACCCACCGGTCAGACCGAAGCACTCCTCCTTCCAGTATTTGGACTCGTAGATTCGAGTCCGGGTGATTTTCTCCACCAGGTACTGCGGGTTGGTCCCGTGTATGCTGTTGGCATCTTTAACGGTTCGGTTCGCCATCGGAGATTAAAGAACAGTTCGGAGCTAGCATCGACACGGCGGCGGCGGCGGAAACCAGCGGAAACCAGCGGAAGTGATAACACTTCCGGGTCGCCTTCACAATAAAAGCGCAGCTCTCTTAATCGACGTCACGATTACGTCGAGGTCATATTTTTGCGTCGACGCTTCGCCACACACGCACACACACACACGCACACACACACGCACACACACACACACACGCACGCGCGCACACGCACACACGTGGGAGACCAAAACATTGCAGAATGGAGGAAACAGCCACGTGCTCACAGAATCCCGATAAAGGGAAAAGTCCCTCAAACACCTCTCGTCCTAAATCCTCCAAGGTTTGGGAATATTTCTCCTTCAGTCCGGAACGGAAAGGCTTCGTTACCTGCGCTGTTTGTTTCATGGAGTTGGCTTATCACAGGAGCACAACAGCGATGTGGCAGCACCTGAAGCGGAAGCACCCCCCTGCAGAAGGAGACAGTAACAGGTGAGTGTTAACGGTGTTCATCTGACAGACATTATTATTATTAATCCACCAACAGAAAAAGAATCCGTACATTAGTCGACTAATCGATCAAATAATCGGCCGATTAATCGTTTAATAAATAATCGTTAACCCCCAGCCCTAATATATATAGATATATAGATATATATATATAGATATAGATATATATATAGATATAGATATATATATAGATATATAGATATATATATATATATTTATATATGGTGTATCTGCTACCGAACCTCTTCTTCTTCGTCTGGTTGAGAAATCAGCTTATAGGTGCAGTTTAAATGATTTCTTTTCAAGTTGATTCTCCAGTGTAATATTATGTTCCTCTAGGGATGCACAATATTGGAATATTAATTATTTTGAGACTGTTAGTCTATTTATTGCATCACAATTTTGATTTTTCAGCCAAAAATTAAAAAAAACAAATCTGTTAGATTGTTAAAAGTGATGATGTGACATTTGTTGTTGGTCTGTAAAATACATAAATATATATATATATATATATATTAAAATAAGAATATAAGAAAAGGGCATCTTGAGACCCAAACAAATATATAACAATTTGCATAGTTATACACATCCTACAAAGTCCTCATACAGTCAGATGTTGCCCTTATTAGACTAATGTCTATAATAAATCTGCATATTTATTTAAAAGTCTGCTCAAACATTGAACCATCAGTTGTGGTTGAGAACTGACCTTAAAACACGCCCGGTGAACTAAAACCACTCATAAATAGTTTTATTTTATTAATGTATTCAATTGTTTAAACAAAAACAAGCAACCAGAAACAGAATCAGGTTTATTGTCATACAAGGGATGAGCCTTGGTAAACAGAACCAGTATCAGGTTCATCAGGAGGCAGCTGGAGAACCCGGGTCAGAGACCGGGGAGCGGTTCCAGCGTTGTTTCACAGTTTCTCCCTCTTTCAGACCGGGTGTGTGGGAGAAGAAACAGCAATCACAGCCGGAAGACGACACACCGAGGGAGGAGGCCGACGCAGTCCTCGTGGACCACGACTACGCTCCGCCTCCTCCACCTCTGGGTCCGGCTCTGAATGACATCGGGTCTCTCGGAGAGGAGATCCAACGGCTGAGGGGACAAATCGAGAAGGTCACCATGAGGCAGCGGTTTGGCATCCATCGATTTGCCGGCTCAGACGAGGACATCCAGTTTTTCACGAGGTGAGATCGTGATCCAGCGGGCTCGGATCAGAGGAGGCTGCTGGAGGTGGAAACACCAAGTAAGAGAATGATACCGGCTTTAAATACTAACATCTGAACTGTATTTATTCAGGTTTGCATCCTATGACCTCCTCATGCGTTTCTGGGCCTTAATAGAGCCCACGCTGCCGGCTATGGTCAGTGTGACACAAGCACAGAGGGACACGTTCACAGAGCCAAGTGCCACTGCAGTAAGTACTCTTTATTATACTAATAATAATAATAAAAATCAAGGTTTTTTGATTATTTATTATAGCAGTGTTGGGATTAATGTGTTATAAAGTAACGTGTTTCTTTTGAAGGTAACTAATAATTAAAGTCACTGAAATTTAAATAGGTTTGTTCATTTTGTTTGACCTGAAAAGAGTGGACAGCTGCAGGTAGGAGCGCTGCTGGTTGCTGCCCTCTGGTGGTTAATAACTAGTCCCACAGTAACACTATAATAATATATCTGACATTATTTAAAGTCATTCAGAGCTCAGGGTTGTTGGAGGTTGAAACATTATGTAACTTTCCGTCTGTGTTGCACAGACTCGTTCCCTGAAGCCCATCGATGAGATGTTCATGTTTCTCAACTTCCTTTCGCTGGGCTCGAAACGGTGTGACCTCGCAGACCGGTACGGAGTCCAGCAGTCCGCGGTCGGTCGGATTATCACGACGTGGAGCAACTTCTTGTACGCGGTGCTGGGCTCCGTGAGGATCTGGATACCAGCGGAGAAGATACGGGAACATTTACCTGCAGAGTTCGAGGACTACGCAGACACCAGAGTCGTCCTGCACTGCACGGCGCTCCGGTGTCGGGTCCCATCGTCGCTTCTTCTCCAGGGCGAAGCTGCACACAGGTCCTACTGTACTCTCCGAGGGCTGCTTGGAGTCGCTCCTCACGGGGCGGTCACCTTCGTCTCGCCACTGTACGCCGGATCTGTCAGTGACAATCGGATCATGCGAGAGTCAGGAATTCTCTCCCTTTTGAGACCCGGGATGGCCATCATGGTCGACAGAGGCTTCCTCGTTGGTGACTCTGTGCCGTGTAAGATCTACAAGGCGGCCTTTCTCTCTGGAAGATCCCAAACGTCTGCCTGCGAGGTCATGGAGACCCAGGCCGCCGCTCGCCTCAGGCTGCTCGTAGAGCGCCTCATACGCCGGGTGAAGGAACACAAGTTCTTTGACACAGAGATTCCAGTCTGGCTTTTTGGGAACGTTAACCAGCTGTATGCTGTCGCATGTCTCCTGACGAACTACGAAAACGATCTACATTATATCAACGGAGAGGAAAGGAAACATAGAACAGAACTCAAGTAGAACAGAACCAGACTGTTACAGGAGATGTTCGTCTACTTGGAGAGAGTCTATAGCACGTTGGAGACGGCGTGGGGCAATAAATGTGGATCGTTCTCACATATTTTAGAGCTGAAAATTTACTTTTTTAGTAACGTTTTTCGTAAGGTTATTGTCAAAAGTCCTGGCTGTGATTATAAGACCGCAGTTCCCAACCTTTTTCCTTAAGAGGACTCCTTTTCTACCATTTAGTAAATTGACGACATCTTATTAAATTACATATTTTATGTACATTTCATATTATATTCAGAACTATACAATGAACCCAAACAGTGAACTCAGTAACTGCAGGAAGTTTGTGTAAAACCAGAGATTTGGAAGAAGTCTGTATTCTGTATTTTTTAATCATTTTTTACAATCATAATAGATTTCTATTTGGAGAAAGTCTGTTTTCTTCTCCCTTTTGTTCTGTTAGACACTTTAATTTAATTTGATACCAGATGCTGAGATATTGAATTGTTGTGTGTACTTTTTTCTTACACCACTTAGAATCAAGAAGGCCTCACAACCCCCCTGTGAAGCTTTGGCGACCCCTAGTGGGGGGCCTGACCCCCAGGTTGGGAAACACTGAGACTTCATAATATAACAGGAGATAATGTGTCAAACTATGTTTCATCAGGAGTCACTAATACCACCAATAAGAAGGGTTAGATTACCTTTGTTTCAACTCTGAAAATAAAGTTCAAAAGGTTGATTATACTACAATGTTCTAGTTGTCACAATATTGTTTTTTAAATTGTCAAAGTTGACTTAACTTTTAATCACTTGTAATCTTCACTTGATACCATTAGTTGAAACAAAAAACCATTATACATCATCAATACATGAAAACTTTTAATCACATCTTGTTTAAACTTAATATTTGATCTGAGTTAAAATAACTAATAATATTTATACGACTACCCATTTGAAGTTAAGGATTAAAATTCCAAATTTGTTTCAACTTGCATGGTAAATGACAGAGCATTCACACTGAATTCTTGCATTTGTCCAAAAATAGAACATTTATTTACAATTCAAAATATAATATTATTATAATATATAAACTTTAACAATTTTGAAACTGTAAACGAGAGTAAGTATGGTGAAGTTGTACAGAGGAAAAATGTGGTATACGCAGAGCTTTAAAACAACATCCACATCTAAAAGATTCTTTAACCACAATTTGTTTTCATTATATATACACACCTAAACTATTTTAGATTTTTCAACTTCACCCATTTGTCACTAGATTTGCCCATACCTGACTTCTGCTGAACAAACCAGACTGATGAAAACCTGTATTAGTGTAAAGAACAAAGCAAGCTTCCCAAATAAATGCTGCCTCCTAGTAGTTGACAAGTACATTCGTTTGTTTACATGCGATATCTAAGCAGTTTATTGGAGTCCATGGATTCTGGCTGAACATTCGTCTGTTTTAATGTTCATGACAACCCTCTGAAGGAACTCAAAAGAGTACCTCATATTACGTGGCTACTCAAGGTTAAGGCAGTAGATTGCGCCCAGTAACATGGCAAAGCCTGTGGGCAGATCTCTGAGGTCATGTAGGATGATTTTCCCCTCTACTACCACAGCCACGTTGAAAACATCCAAAGGAAATGCATCATGCAGAGGGCCTTCTTGTCCAATCAACAGTTTCTATATAGTACTATAGTATTCTAATAAAGAAAGGCTACAAATGTCTTGGAAATTAGTTTAGTGAGTGTTGTCATTGCCTTTCTGCATGTTCATTGTTAAACACAAATAATAAAATAAACCAAGTTATTTTGGCCACTAGGTGGAGCTAAACTGGGAGAAATGTACTGCATTGACATTTTCTCTATTTCTCAAAAATGTAGTATATTGGGATTTCAAGTATGAATAATAATTCAATGTTACATACATTGCATTTGAAATGAAAGAATGATTATTATAGACTATGCATCATACAGCTACATGCACATGGACAGAAACTCTGGGACACACCTCTTAACTAACATGTAACATGGTCAAAAAAAAAATAAATCTAGGCTGTAGCCTACTACTTTATTATCCCATCAAACTTTTTTCTGATATACTGATATACTATACTATATACTACTAAGATATTTTAAAAAGTAGCCTAATGTGATAAGTTAGCATTACATTATTTAAAAAAACAATATAAGTCTGGATATTTTATTACATATTGGTTAAGTTATTGCATTTTGGGTTTCATTACACTTTCTATTTAAATTAAGGGCACATTTCATTAATTTTTCAGACATTACTACATTTGCTTGTCATAGGGACAAAATTCTAATTATTTCAAGGAAACCCCGTCAATGTTGGGTGTGTGCCAAACATAGGGCGTAGTTATTTTTACAATACAAAACAATATAAAATGTGTAAATACAGTGTCTTACATCACACATCCTGATTATGTATGAGGAATCTTTTCCAAGGTAGCATGGAAGACCAAGTAGGGCAGCTGTTCTTTTGTTTTGATTTGTGTCCTATAAGAACAGACAGATATATATATATATATATATTGTTGAGTTTGTTTGTTGTGTAGTTCAGACTGCAGCTTTACCGTGCTTCATTTATACTGACAATATTGTACTTTTGATCATATTTAACTTAAATACCTCCGTCCGTGAGCAGAAGACCCTGAGGAACCCCCACGCTGTCTCTGAGAAAGGGATCTGGACAGACTCTCTTGGCCAGGGCTGAATGATCTGGTTTTAAAAAATAAAATAAAGAAGGGAAATTGCAACAGCAGGTATTGCAAATGTAGTATAATTCTAAGTAGTGGGAATTATCATTTTGACAATATTGTACTTTTGATCATATATAAATTAAATCCTTCAACCATTAGAAAGACACTCAGAGGGATTCTTCTTCTGGGTTCCTTCTGCGGTTAGTCAACATAAGTAACATTAACAGTTTACATTAACATAAAAGACAATTGAAATTTGTATTTTGTGGCATTCAATTCAAGTTGTAACCTTTCAGTTCTGGTATGGCATACTAAACTTCAAAATATTTGATACCCAATCAAAGACAAAACTGGTTTCACACAACCACTTACCAAACTGTGCATCTGTCATTTTGGGAGGAGTTGGAAGAACAAAGTCATCTGTAATAAATAGTCAACAG